AAAAAAAAAAAAAAAAAAAAAAATTTTTTCACTTTAAATTACGTTTTATTCTATTATTACTATTACTATTATTATTATTAAATTGAAAAACAAAATGGCGTACGATCTATTGATCGATCGATTATTAAACTAGTAATAATAATAATAATAATTTTTTAATGTTTTCGAAATGTGCGATTATATGATCACGTAAACTTTAAAAAAAAAAATAAAAATAAAAACAAAAACTTTTATAATTTTTATACAAAAAAAAAAATAAATAAATAAAAAGTTTAATAAAATAAACGAAAGAACGGAATAAATAAAATAAAACGATAATAATAATGATGACGATGATAATGATGATGATGATAATAAAATGTTGTAAAAAAAAAAAAAAACGTGAATTAATGAAAAAGTTTTTATCGAGTCAATAATAATATTCATTTTAGTACGTATATATGTATATATAATATAAAACTTTTACCGAAGCTTTGTTATCATTTTAATCCTTTTCTTGAGTTGTCATCAAAATGGTCCATTAAAAAAAGAGAGAAAGAGAGAGAGAGAGAGAGTTTATCTACAAACATTTGACAGCTTTTGTTTCGTCATTTTTCAAAAAAAAAAAAAAACCGCCAAATTTTTTCCATCCCCTCCTCCCCATCCTTCCTTCCTTCCTTCCTCTTTCATTCATTTTCTTATTATTCGTACGACTTCGCGTCGTTTTTATTATCAAATTTCAACCGTTTTTTTGAATTTTTTAAAAACCCGAACGCGGTTTTACTTCGAAAGGGGAGGAGCGGGGGGAGGTAGAAGAATTTCCTCCAATCACTTTGCGACGATGATAAAAAATTCGATAATAATTTTAAAAAAAAACAATTGTTTATAAACAACGAAAAGTTTTTGTTTTGTTTTTTCTCTCCTACTCTCTTCTCCCATCATTAATTTATTTACGTTACGTTATTTTTTTTTTATTATTTATTTTATTTAAACCGCGGTAAAAAATATTTTTTTTTTTTTATTAACGTGCTTCACACATATTATTAATAACCTTTTTTATTTACTTATTTATTTTATCGGATCGGAGAGGGAGGTTGAATAAAAAAAAAAAAAAAGGAAACTAAAAAAAAAAGTGTTTAATAAATTTGATTTATCGATTTTCTTAAACAACAGCAACAACAAGAAGTTTTAAAACTTGGTAAATATTATCATTATTATTATCATTATTATTTTCTTATGTATTTATAGAAAATTTCATAAAATTTGAGTATTAAAAAGGGATGCACGTATGTATGTATGTATATTGTACGCACTCGACTAAACAATTTTCATTTTTTTTCTTTTACGAAATAAAATAATCATTATTATCATCATCGTCGTCATCATCACGTGGTGATAATAATGATGATAATATTTTTTTAAAAAAAAGTGAATTTTCAGTTTTTCCGGGTCAGTGAATTTTTTTCATTTAAAAAAATGTTTCTTTTCATTTTTGACTGTCACGTTTTCAAGAGAATATTTTCAAATTTTCCTTTTATTTTAGTATGTTGTAGTAAAAAATAGAGAGAAAAAAATCACATGGCCGAGTTTAATAATAATAATAATAATGGAAAACCTTTTCTTTTAACAAAAAAAAAAGAGAGGGGGAGGGGGAAAAGGAAAATTTTATAAAAAGGAAAAGAAGGTGGTTCATGGGGAAAAAAATTTTTTCTTAAAAAACTTTCACCGCTTATTATTATTATTAAATTAAATATTGGCGTTTTTTTTTTTTTTTAGTTTCTCTTGTTGTAATTAAGCCCTTTAGAGATTCAGAAAAAATTTTCTTTTTTCTTTTTTCTTTTATATTACCTTTTTTTTTTTTATTTCGAGTTTAGTATTATAACTGGGTAGGTTAATTACATAAAACTTTTTTCTGAAAAACTTTTTTTTATATGATATTAACTTCATTATATTTATTAATACTAAAAAAAAAAGAGAGAGAGAGAGAGAGAAAGAGAGAAATGAGAAAAAAAAAGTCTTTTTAACCTTGAATTCTTATTATTATTATTATTATTATTTATATATTTAATAAAATGATACGTAGTGTGGTGGTACTTATTTGGCAGTTTTTTTTCCAGTTGAAATTGGAATTAAAGAAAGGAAAGAAAGAAAGAGAAAGAGAAAAAGAAAAACGAAAATGAGAAAGACCGTGGTTAATTTACTCATTTGTAGAGTTAATCAAATATTACAAAGATATAGAAGGACGGCTGCTTCCAGCACCCCTTCTGGAGGTAACCCAAATAAACAAACGAAAAAAATTTGCGATAATAATAATAATAATAATTTTTTTTTCTTTTTTCAGAATTGAAAAAATAATAATCGGAGGGAAAAATTTACCGATAAAATAATTTTTTTTTTTTTTTTTTTTTTTTTTTTTTTTTTAGTTACCGCCCATCCCTTTTGTTTCCTTTTTTTTCGAATTATTTATTTATTTATTTATTTATTTATTTTATTTTTTTTTTCTTCTTGAAAAAGTTAGAAGAAGAAAAAAAAGAAAACGAAAGAAAGAAAGAAAATGTGATTCGAGGAGAGAGTTATTTTATTTATTTATTAACTTACACCAACAACAAACAATTCATGATTTCGTTTAACAAAAAAAAAAAAAAAATTATTTATTAAATTTATCAAAATTTTGTAAAAAAAAAATATTAATAATAATAATTATTAATTAATGTAAATATTAATTATTATTATTATTATTACTTATAATTAATAAAAAATAATTGAAGCCGTTACATAACTTTTATTTATTTATTCGATCGTTATCGAGTCATTTTTTCCAAAACAAAAAAAAAATTACTTGTTGCCATCGATCGATAGATCGGCGACGTATTTTCACTTTGCCCCTCCCCTCTCTTCCCTTCTCCTCCTCTTTCCTCTCCTACCTCCCCCGAAAGGAAAAAAAAAATTAAAAATCAATTAATTACGTTTTTTTTTTTTATGTGGGAGTAATAAAATCATTTTTTTTTTTTTTGATTAATGGTCTTTTAATGAAAAAAAAATCAAAAACCAATAACCAATGATTCAGCTATGATGATTCAATTAATAATAATAATAATAATAATAATAACAATAATAATAATAATAATAATAATAATAATAACAATAATAATAATAATAATAATAATAATGATAATTGGTTTTTATAACAAAACGTCTCATATCTATTTTATATATGTTTAATGGAAAAACTCATTTTTCTTCTTGAGTTTTCTTTTTCTTCTTCATTGAATGGTTAAAAATAAATTATTATTATTTACCTTTGAATTTTGTTTGACTTGAAAAACAAGAGCAAAAAAAAAGATGAAGAAGATGAAAAAGAAGAAGAAGAAAGAAAAAAAAAACAATTTATAAAAGGTTAAAAAAAAAAAAAAAAAATTTTCTTTTACGGCGGTTACTACAAAACAATAAAATTTTTTTTTTTTTTTTTAATTCGGAAAAAGGAAATGCGGTAGAAAGAACTTTTCTTCTATTCTTTTCTTTTCTTTTCTTTTGGATAGTTGTATAAAATAATAAATCAAAAGAGGCCTTTTTAAAAAAAAAAAAAAAATGGCTTGTGTGCGCGCGAGCGTCCGTTAAATTACTTTTTAAGGTTAATAAAAACGCTCGATCATCATCATCATCATTATGACGTATCGATAGGAAAACGTTAGAAAAAAATTATAAATAAATATTTTTAAAAGAATGATTGATTGATTGATTGATTGATCGATTTATAAAACTCATATCGACGAAATATTATCAAACACATACACGAGTAATTCAAAATCTATTAATAATAATAATTTTTATTTATTAATTTTTAATTCTGACGTCACCGGAAAAGTTTTTGTAACGGACGAATTTTCAGTACGCATTTATTCCTCGTGTTCTCTTTTAACGTTAATTTTTTTTTAAAGTTAAGTAATTAAAATTATTTCATCGCGGTTGGGGAGGGGGGGGTAATTAAAACACGAAAATTAATTTTAATTTTTTTAATTAAAAAAAACTCGAAATTGAAATCGAAATCGAAATGGAAAAAAATTTCAATTTATTTTTTTAAGTTAAAAAAAAAAATCTATACATAACATTCGAGTTTTATTTATTTATTTATTTTTATTTAAATAATAATAATAATAATAATAATAATAATAATAATAAAAACGGTTATTTATTTATTTTACTGCTACGTAATTTTAATATAAAAAAAAAAATCGATTTTTTTCTTTTTAAAAATGGGGAGGTAGGAGGAGTGGTTTAAAGAAAAAAAAGGGTGTATTGTAGAGGGTGACGTAAAATTTTTTTTTTTTTTGTTTTCGACGTGACAATGAAAAAAAAAATCCTTAAACAAAAAGGATCCCCAAAGAATCCAATTTTTTTTTTTAAACCTAAAAAAGCACATTAGGGGCAAAAAAAAAAAAATGAAAGAAGGTTTGCCAAAATCGGAATTTTTTTTTTTTTAAACGAGAAGAAAAAAAAGACGATTTTTTTTTTCCCGCCTCCCAACTCCCGCCTCCGTTTTCCCTCCCCTTTTTCATCCCTCCCTTCCCACTCCTCTCTCCTTCCTTATCCGGTTAAAATTTTTCCCCATTACAAAATCTTATTATTTTTTTTATTTTTTTTCATTTAAATTTTCCAATATAAACAAAACAAAAAAGAAAAATCGATATTGGTTTTAATTTAAATAAATAATTAAAACCCATTTTCTATTACTATTGTACACCTGATATTAAATTTTTTTTTTTATTTCGGGGGGGGGGGGGAAGAAGGCCGTTTGGAGAAGGGAAATCGTTATGAGGAGGAGGGAGGAAGGGCATGGGGTCGGGAGAAAAAAATATAATTTTTTTTTTTTTTTCCGAATGCAATAAAGTAAAAAGAATATAAAGTTTACGGCTAAAATTTAAAAAAAAATCATTATTATTATCATTATTATTATTAATATTATTATTATTATTATCATTATTATTATCATAAATACATTTTTTTTTTATATCATTTTTTTTTTCAAACGTCTGTATCGGATGTGATAAACGTTTATTTCGTGATTTAACCCTTTTTTTTCCTTCAAATATTTATTACTTTTATTATTATTATTATTATTATTATTATTATTATTCTCTCTTCAATTTTCAACGGTTATTATTATTATTACCCGTAATTTTTCTTTTTTCTTTTTCCTTTTTTTTTTTTCGTTTCAACACATAAATTTAAATAATTAATATTAATAATAATATTTAAAGTTATGTAAAAAAAAAAAATGTAAAGTTCGTTGACCTTAATTAAATATTTCGAGTAATTTATTAATTAATAAAAAATTAAAAATAACAATAATAATATTATAAAAGTTACTTACCACTCCGCTGTTAAATTTTCTTACTCCGCAGGGCAGTGTTGCCGTTCCGCCGATTTGTGCGATTACAACTGTTGAATTTTCCGTTGTGAAAACTTCACTTCCGGTAGCAAAATTATTACCGTAATTTTTACTCCTGTGATTTTCGTAACCTCTTCGAATTCTCACAATTTCTTTGTTTTCTGTGAAACAATATTTAAAAATTAATTTTTTATTTTTATTTTTCAAATATGGCATTTTGAAAAGAAATTTTATTACTTTTTATAACGTAATGTAATTGTAATAAAACCGTAAAAATCAATTTAAAATTTAATTTTTTTAAACAATGGGAATAATATAAAAAAAAAAACGAATTGACGAAGAGTAAACAGACTGTTCCGACACGAGGATTTCATAGTGTTTCCTGTTTGAATTGAAACCTGGATAAGATGATAAGAGATAACGCACTAATTTGAAAAACGCAAGAATGAAAACGCGCATTTCCGTCTGGAAAATTATTTTAATTTTTTAACGTTGGAGAAGAAAAAGAAGGATAAAACTTTAAAGGTGTGTTAACCAATAAATCGGAAGCTCATGTTTAATATTTTATTCTGATGACGTCATATGTTGGTTCGGAAGAACGAATAGAAAATGAAAACGTATCTGAACAAATCTTTCTCCGGAAATCTATGAAATTTTCGCGAAAAAACGAGTGAGAAATTTTTGTTTGTACTTTTCCGCCCACTAAGAGATTTTGAATGTGAAGGACGAAGGTTTCGGTTATTATTACTGGAGAAAAAGAAAACAACCGGTAAAAAAATTAAAAATGTGTCGATATCAGTACTGGAAAGACAACAACTGATCATTCCAGTGAAAACCGGTACGTGACGGTCGTTAATCACAATCGTTCACGATCTCAAATTTGTCGCAGAAAAGTGACGTCATAAAAAAAAATTCCTTTTTTTTTAAGAGAGAGAGAGAGAGAGAGAAAAGGAAAAGAGAGAAATAAAACTTACAATCGACAAGTATAAAATTTAAATATTGAAATTTAACGATTAAAGTTTTTAATCTAATTAATAAGGGTAAAATGGTATCAATAATAGGAATGAAATAAATTTTTGGGATTATTTAACGAGCTGAACAATTTTTCCACTGAATTTTCCGTTCAGCGAAATTTTTATTTTGACCGTTTTAAGTTAATTTAATAGGTTTTGTCAGATTAACGACGTGTAAGTAGTCAGAAAAAAAAATACTAACGGATTAAATAAATTTTATTTATTATTAATATTTAAATCGTCTTTTCCGTTTCCGTTTCCTCCTTTTAAAATTTCACGAATTTTCTTTTTTTTAAATTGTTTATTATTATTATTATTATTTCCATTGACATGTTTTCGTTTTGTTTTCTTTTTTTTTCTGGTCTTATTCTTTTTTTTTGTCACATTTATTTTTTATCACATTCTTTTCTTATCGTTCGATTTTCTTTTTTTTTTTTTAAATCCTTTTTTGCAAACCGTATCTTCCAGAATTTCTTTTTTTTTAATTTTATCGGATTTTTGCAAAAGAAATTTTTTTTTTTCATTCTCTCTTTCTCTCTCTCTCTCTCTCTGGAAAAATCTTTGATTTACGATTTTGAAACAAAAAAGGAAAAAAAAAATTTTTTTTATATATATAAAGAAAAGGAGGAGAAAAAAACGCTTTTTCGAAGGTTACGGGGGAACGGGGTAGGGGTAGGAAGAAAGAGGCTGGAAAAAAGAAATTTGTTTTAAAAAGTTTTTTCTCTCTCTCCACATTTTACCCCCTCCCCTCCAACACCGCCTCCCTCTCGCAATTTTATTTTATTTCATTTTTTAACATAAGATGGAAAATTTATAAAAAAAAGGAAAAAAAGAAAAATAACGGCCGTGACAATTTTTATAGATTTACAAAAAATGACGAGAATTGTTAAATAAATTTTTTTTTTTCCCGTCGGATTTAACGTGATTTAATAAAATTTCTGGAGAAATAAGAAAGAGAGAAAATATTTCCAGTTTAATTGATAAGAGAGAGAGGGAGAGAGAGAAAGAGAGAGGACAACGATTAGCTTTTAAATTAAAGTTACGTAGTCTTTGGAAAACGTCTGGGAAATTTGTTTAAAAAAATTATTTTTGACGAATATTATGACGATCAGTTGATTTAAATCCAGTAGAACTGGAGGGTACTGGAGAAGAAAAAACAACGAAGTATTTTTTTATTTATTATTCCTGATCATAAATTCTTCAACTTTTACTTTTATGGCGTCGTCGTCGTCGTTTTTGTAAAAATTTTATTTTTTCCCTCTTCTTCTTCTTCCACTTTTCGATCGGTTTTTACATAAAAAACTTTTCAGCTTTCCTTTAAATTTTTTTTGGTTTTCTTATTTTATTTTTTACATAGCTTTAAAAACCGTCACGATAAGGTTTTGATAAGGAAAAAAGAAAAAAAAAAAATTTTTTTTTATTGCACTCATGTGTAAACATTTTAAATTTAAAATTCGATATAGTTTCTCTCTTTCTCCCTCTTTCCCCCTCTTTCCCCCTCTTTCTCTCTCTCTCTCTCTTTCTCTCTCTTTCTCTCTTTTTTTCCTTCGTAAAAAAAAAAGGAAAATTTTTTAGTTTTTGGTACTGAAAAATTATTAATAAATTGTCCTTGTCCGTCGGGAGTATGATTCAATAAATTATAAAAAATTTTTTTTTAACGCCAAAAACGATTCAAAAAATCCGACATTTTGAAAAAAAAACCACGTCACGCCCGTCACGCGTTTTTTTTTCTTTATTCGAAAACTTTGTCGCGTATTGATTTTTTTTTTTACTCTATTCTCGACGTTATTATTTAGTTTTTAAAAAAAACATAAATTTCAATGTAATTTAACTTTTATTATTTTTTTTTTATAAGAGAAAGAAAACGATAAATTTATATAATTTAAAATAAATAAAACAATAATGAAACTCAATGTTTAAATAAATATGCGTGTGTGTGTGTGTGAAAAATGATGTGGAAAAGATTTTCCTAAAGAAGGAAATAAAGATATGCTTCGAACGTAACATGCACGCACGCACGCACGCACGCACGCACGCACACAAACGTCAAAAGTTAAAACCGGAAAAAGAGATTTCACATAAATGCAAAACGTTTTTAATTTAAAATATTTTATATATATATATATATATATATATATATATATATATAATTTAATATATATATATATATATATATATTAAATTTATTTTCTTTCATTCGAGCGATGAAAATCAACAACGA